GGCTATGCAAATGTGCCTTTACCAATGTCCGATAGCGCTTCCAGTCAAGTGCTGTCATCAAATAAGCAGCATCTAACCAATCCATCGTCAATCAATTCATCATCATCATCAAAAAATAGCAACATTCCAATTGCTCAATCTCAATCACAAGTAAGCGGCCGACCAAATCAGAATAATTTGGATCTTCTTTGTGATATTTCATTTGGTCAGCAACAGCCATCTGAAGCGCAGATGGATCGTGGGGCATCGAACTCTGTTCAGTCAATGTCATTGTCGGCTGATGAGGATGTAGCTGATCGAAGCAATGAGCAATTCGGTGATTTCACATCGTCATCACCGGTACCATCAACAGTCCCGTCAGATGCCCTGTTGAATCCGCAACCAATAGTGCCGATTTCACTGAATAGTGAAGTATTCTCGAATGAGAAACAAGGTATGTTCGTGAACTCATCTTTAATTTCAGCGCAGTTGTCTACAGTTTTTGAATTCTATAAGTCAATCGCCACTTTTTGACGTTTCATCAGTATGAAGCAAATCGCATGCTCTACCTACTGAAGCATACTGGCATTCGTGTAGATGAATTATTATTAAATTCCACAAATTGGTATCCAAATAGGGCTTTTGAAAATGCGGTTTCGTTCTTGAAATGCATATTGGTTAAAAACTTCATTAAGAAGTTGAATTTATTTTGTGGTTATCGTGATAATTTTCTGTTGAAATAATCTTCAAACTGCTATGTTCTTTGTATAATTTCTGATTTTAATGGCAGAAGCGAAAGATATCTACGCAGTCATGAAAGCGGTTGAGGGAGATATGCAAGGCAGTGAACAGGTTATCAGTTCTTCATCTCACTTCTTCCGTCCCGTTTCAACCATATTTTATTTGCTCATTGTCCATTCGTTTGTTCCTATTCAATATCAGTTCTGATATTCGACTTCAATCTCCTTACCAAATTACTGAANAAAATGATCATCAATAATTTCAAACAGACTATTCGGAATTTGTAGGAACAAGAAAATGTACACGTCTGGAAACGGTGTATTCAAGAAGCGTATTGTTTATTCAGCGATGCCGATCAACTCTTACCGATCGCATCCGAAATTTTCATCAACGATATTGCACAAACCGAACGGGGTGCTAAGTATTTATCAGCTTTAAGAGCTGTTTATGAAATGGTTCGATTTGGTGTTTGTTTTGTTCAGTTTCATTTAATGAGCAGTTATAACACATGCCAACAGTCCTGTACAGAAATATTCGATAGCGTGTTTATGAGACTGATTGCGTTATGAAGAAAAGTGATTATTTGAAGGTATCGAGGATACGAAAAGGACGCGTTGAAGAGTTGAGAGAAGTGAACAACGAACTTGAACAGATCGATCGAATTTGGCAGAGAATTAAAAGGTACACACTAGAGCAGTCGACAACAATCAACGAATCTGATCAAGCCCCGTTGAATAGCGTGTGCAAGCAGTGTGGTATTTGCGTGATGCAAATAAATGAAAC